CGTACAAAGATAAAATACTTAATTAGGTGGCCGCTTCGCTTACCCGGCCGCTTCGCTTGCCGCTCACGTTAATACTTGATGCGCCCCAGCATAATCTTGGCAGCGATTTGAATGATACAATCGAGGCTTTCAACATAGTCCACCAACGGTACGTAAGGACACGTAGAAGTAACTGTAGGCTTTGAACGCTTGATTTGCAGTACGTAGCTTGCCTCTCGAGCTATGTTTGGTAAAGCTTCAATTCAAAACTTATTGTTAAAAAAAAGCGTGGCATAAAAATGATGAACTCTCATTATATTAATATATCTATGGTTCATAACTTTCTAGGACGTGATCTTGTCGAGGTCGGCGGTGGAGGTACCAATCTGGTCGAGCACGGTGGGAATAGGACCGTTCAAGCGAATGAGGAAATCACCAGTGTGGGTGACCCTGGTATCATGTCAGTAACTTCGTATCAAATTTTGAACACTTGATTCTAACGTACCCATCAACGGTGTGGTGCAAGCGAATCTTGCGGCCTTGTGCCTCGAAAATGTCGAAAGTCCACTCAGGGTTATCGCATTTGTTACCCAGTGAGTCGGCGGTGAAGTGATCAGCTGCGCAGCTCACTCCATCAACAGAAAGTTGAAAGGAGATCTGGGGGTAGCCATTGACGCCGACGTAGCCAAAGTTGGAGATAGTGACGGTCTCAACGGCGGCGGCAGCGAAGCCGAAAAGGGTGGCGGCGGCGAGAAACTTCATCGTGTGATTTGAGCGAGTGTGGATTGAATCAGGGTTATGATTAGAGTTGACAAGCTGTTGTATGGTAATGAGCTCCAAGGTGGCCACCAATCCTTATATACACAATTCTTTGGACGTGCACATCATGTATGTGGTAATAGCAAGTCGGCCCTAATAGTATATTTTTAGTGACTGATGGACAGCGGACCATTGCTCTTCGTGGCTAATGACTCGATCATTGAAACGTCCGGCTCCTGGTGGCCCGTGTGCACATAAGAAGATCAGGCTTGCTTGCTAAGGAGAATTCGAATGATGTCAGCCTATTGCCACTGCAGCGTTACATATTCCAAACCCACCAATAAGTTTTACGAATATCTTCTCCACTCAAAGCCTAAAATCGGTAGTTTGACAGCCCGGCTGGCGGTGCTGAAGGGGGTGCAGCTTGAGCTCAGCATCACCAGTCGGGCTATCAAAACTACTAATTGAAGGCGTACCTTTAGCACGCACTCTTTACTTCTAGCAGCTCCTATAGAGAGTAGCTTTTTTATTACTTTTCATTACTCTTTTCCTACCTTTTCTAGCTACTCCAACTAGTTTTTAAGCTTATATACTTGCTTATATTCTAGCTTCCTTTTTAGCTAGGATTTTAGTATTCGTTACGTGACCAGCGCTATCCGAAAATGTAGATTCCTGATATCTTACTATACTCATTGGCATTAAGCTTCTTAGAGCTGATTAAATCGCGTTTCTTCCTCGTACGAAGCCCCCTCCAGGACCAATTATAATATGCAGCTAAAGTTGCAATTAAGCCCACCAAGCCGTCGATCAATACGCAGTGGGACCGAGACTAACGCCAAACGAGCGGCAGGCTAACCAAGAGCAGTCACACCGTTTTTTTGCCCGTGAACGCATTGAGCAACATCCGGCAGAACACGAAGTAATACCCGAGATTCATGCATCGCTATCGTATTCCATCGTAACAATAAACTCGATCACACCTTGATCAAATATGCCAGCAGTTTACACACGGAATAATCTAGCTTGCGGTAAAACCCCCGGGTGAGACTAAAATCCTAACAGCGTGTGTTGCTCCGACCCACCCCGATGAAGTCGAATGCGCACTTAGTGGTATATACTCATTTCCTGTATTCTTGCGAGCAACTCTGTAAAAGCTATAACTAGTATAAACATAGTTAATGATTATCGCTACTGCAGTCTTTACTCGAGTTGCCTTGCTGGTGGTGTAGTATAGTCCTTGGAAGGACAATGCTTTTCAAGCTGCAAAGATTCATAACTAAGAGAATACTAATTCATCACCTGAAATGCTTCTTATGTCAATTCGCGATACTATGATCTTCTTTTCAACAAAGCCTGATACTTCCGTAGAGGAGTGGTCAAAGCAGATAAAGTGGCTCATTAACAAGAATGATTCATTGTCTTTTGAGCTCTATATAAGCTCGAACGTATGCCGTGCCGGTCAAAGAGACTTATAAGCGATAACCAGTCGACCACTGATTGTCTAGTGCGTCGGAAATTATCAAGTGGGATCTGCTACGATATGTGGACAATATTGCTGGTTGCCTCATCGTGGAACATATGATCAGCCGTCTGGTTTAAGAGGCTCGTCGTTCGGCTGTTGCTTTGACGGAACTCTTCTGGGTACTGCTGCACTGAGCATCGCGAGGTAAGACATTGAATATGTTCGGCTGCCTGTGCGATTGCGAGAGGCATATTGTCCAGCGCCGCCGTTAGCTCATCAACGCTACCATCTATGCCTTTTCTGTTAGCCTGGTCTTCAAGCTTCTTGCGCAGCAAAGTGTGTGCAATACGTGGTAGTATTCCAATGGGAATAGGTCATAACGTCCAGAGAGTGCATCATCGAGTGTTGCTGGTTCTCTGTGGGTGATGTCCCAGAACCTATTTAGAGTGCCATTAGCGCAATTACAGAGCCTTCATAGCGGTAGATCACGGTCAGTAGCAGATGGAGAAGCATTGTGAAAGCTCATATACAGTCAGGAACATAGCCAGATGTTCCGTAGCGTGCTTCATGTTGCAAACGTACTACTTCTTTGTTAGCATGGAGCCCATCGCCCTTGCACAGGCACAGAGTGTCAAGGTACCCAGTCGAATTTGACCTCAAGGAGCATTTCCTAGAGGACCTCTTCATGGAAACACTCTTTCGAGTACCAGCGTGATGCCATGACATCATAGCGACAGCCTGCCTCCTGTGCCTCATGCCAGTCACGACCGCACGTCAGGTCGCTCTCCTCAGATCCAAGTATTGTCGTTCAATTCCACGCTGATATGCCTTGACCATGTTTGATAGGCGGGATATCTGAAGGGGTTTGTCGACTAATCGTTCTGTACTGTTGAAGGACAAGTATGCAAGTACATGTGGCAACTACACCAAAGAGAAGACCACCAACGAAGCAGATGATGCACTGGCGTCTAGGGTATCTGCGTCGTCCTAGCTCTTTGATTGCTGACTGAAATGATTCAACCGTCTCGGGTTCGTTATCATGGTTAGATACAGGTAAATAGGCATAGTGATACTTCAGAGACATAGTGTAAGGATAGTAACCTTGCTAGTAGCAGATAACCTTCTAGAAGAGCTGTATAGATGTATCGAGATAATGTGTTGCGGAATTTGAAAAAATTAAAAGTTAAAAGCTACGTCGAGGATCAAGGAACCTCAATAAGATTCAGTCGAGATGTAGGGCATTCGGTTAACCCTAAACTTCGCCGCGAACCTGACCCCGAACTTGGCAGCTGCGCCGCATCCCATTAAGACAGCAGTTTCACACCATATACCCCTCTTTTGTGCATTGATCCTCCACCAATAATACTCTACTCTCTCCGCATCTGCTATGGCTAAGCATGGGACGGATTGGCAAGATCTAACGGATACATCGGTTGCGCATCTTGTGTAGCATCGGGTTTGTAATAGCTAGCCTTCTCCTGCCTAAAAAGCAATAATTTCAAGTATATCATATAGTTATTAGTATTGTGTTGGAACCTCGTAACTATGCCGGTGGTGTGACACATGACCAATTGGAGGTATTCAGTGAGTATTCTAGAGGCGCGGCGTGGAGAGTGAGTTCACTGTGCCTCTATAGATCATGCGGCAATGAATAATTGCTCCACCTACTTTGGTAAGGCAGGGCTCGGTCTTCATGGCCGAGTTTCAACATTATTAGTGCTACTTTTGGCTGAAAGACATATATAATCTACGTGCTTCACCTTAAAAATTTGCTATCTCAACCCACAGTCTTCACTAACTACGAAAACATGTATTTCACACAACTTGCCCTCACTTTCATTGCCCTCTCTCAACTAGGAAATGCATTTGCTCTTCCCAAGACAGTACCTGATCCTGCCACTGAGGCCAAAGAAGAGCTCAAGATCGAGGCTCGTCAAGGATTGGTTGTGTCTGGCGTACGGCTACTCCTCCTGTTACCACGAGACATCTACTAATATATCTGGTCCTGCAACAGAAGTGCACCTCAGGCTTTCAAATTTTTCGTTATGTTTGGAATGGCGCAAATCGTGATGTTAGATGTGTAGACTAGTCTCGTGTGAGTTCTAAAATAATTATTATGTGTACATATGGCTTATGACCTCAGTGCACTAGCAATTATCTCCCAAACTCATGCGAGTGTGACTTTACAGCTAAAACTTGGATCGCGTACTGTCATTGAGACTTCTACATGCGGAGCAAGGGGACGTAGCGGAGGCAAGGTAGCTACAGATGCTCATCCGCTTTGCACCAACTTTCAACCCCTAGATTGGATCACATCTAGCTTTTAGCACATGTATCAAATTTGATCTGATATGATGTTTATTCTAACATGATATATGTAAATATGTTACAACAATCCCCCTCGAAAAAGACTTCGCCTTAGTTGAAACTGAGAAAGTTGGGGGAAGCATTAGAATTTAGCGATGACGATTATGACGTAGGATTTGTTGCCTATCTCCATGTTATGTGACGTAATCATGCAACTTCAAAGTAATCAAAGTCCATGCCTGATGCATAAGAGAAACTAGTATCGGCGTGTTGGCGACTGTGAGTACTCTTCGTATCCTCATTTTTTACGATGATTTCAAACTACTATATCAATTTGGGTCCATTAGGTCATGTTACCCCTAAGATTTGTACAGTTACGGTCTTGCGTGGCCACACACAAATCCATATCGAAGTCAAGATCTCGCACGTGAAGGACACAAGCTTTGGTCAGGATCTTCTGCAACGTCTACAATTGTGGAAACAACAGTCATGGGGTAGGGTCAGAGATCAGCCAATATTCGACCTGATCTTGCAACACTGTCTGCCTCTCGTCGAAAGTTTGGCACCGCACGTCTCACTCCAAGAACTCAGCCTTGAATCGTTTGTTCACTCACCTACATACAATCTACGGCTTACGAGCGAACGCACGCATGGCGGCATACATATCGAGGGGCAGAATGATGTACAGCACATACCAGCTTTCTTTACTTCTCCTGCGCGCGCCGCCGACCTCCCTGATCTACACAAGACAATTCCTCGCTTTCAGGCACGCGACATCAATATAGCACCCATCTTAAATGGCGAAAAGAATACCGACGCTATCCACGGAAGAGTAATAACAGCTGACGGAACCTCAATGTTCTTCAAACCGCGCCAGGAAATGCGAGAAATAGAATTCGAACGTGAGCTGTGTATCCTATCACGTATCTACGAAGCGGGTCTAACGACTAAACTTCGCGTCCCCAAGCTGGAAGGTCTAGTTATATCAGCCGATGAGGAAATAGTAGGCTTGCTGATGACGATGATCACTTCATCTGCTCTCGGAACTCACTTGCAAAGTCCCGGCCTACAGGAGATGACCCATTTACATCAAAAGTGGGAGCAACAGCTTACTGCGACTATACAAGAGCTACATTTGCACGGTATTGTGTGGGGAGATGTGCATCCTATGAATGTCCTGATAGACGAGGCAATGGATGCGTGGGCAGTTGATTTTGGCGGGATGAATAATGCGGAGTTCATCGATGCTGAGAATCGCGAGACTGTTGAAGGGGATTGGCAAGGCATTAGGAAGATATTTCAAGAGTGGTTACCGAATCCACAGAGGTTGTAGAATCACTTGTCTGCGAAAGCTGTCTATCTTTCATGTCCGAAGAGACGTATGATTACCTCATTCCGCATTTCCACTCAATCATCAAAGATAGGCCAGTCTGCCTCAACCACGTATCCGCGGGTTTTCTCTCCTTACAATCTCTTTTCCTATCTTATCTACTTAACACTGGAGAAGCAACTGAACGGAAGGAAAGATGTTTGGTTGATTTGCTACCTGCTGGCTGTGGACACCAAACTTCACCCTTGCGCCCTTCTAAGCTATGACGCCGTCAACCTTACCGAGAATATTGGAGTTACCAACGGACGAACGAGAAAGATTGGATTCGTAATATTGAATCTCTCTCACGCCTACACTACCTAGACAGCGTACTAAATATAAGATGGCCTTAAATATGTAGGAATTTCCTTTGATAGTTCTTAATTAAACGATGCTGCGCATGTATATGCGCTATCTCCTCATTTTTGAATTTCTACACCCTAAGCTTGCAGAAGTTGCGATAGAGACTATTCGAGCTACCTTATTTAAAGTTCTTAGGGAGTATTGATTAGACTGGTATTTGGGTAGAGGTTGGGTAGAGGTAGGGTTGCTAAGAGTTAGGTAGGGGTAGGGTAGGGTGTCACGGTACGGGCTCACGAGCAGGGACGACAGGCGCGTGTACAGGTTCTATTGCTACAGCTAATCAACAGGCTCTTACTACAGGTAGTATAGA